GATTCCTTGTTTTGGGTGCCTTCTTCTAATGGGACGTTCCAGGTCCGGTCATTCTTTGTGCGCCTCTCTGGTTCATGGGTTGCCCTTCCCGTGGAAGACGGTGTGGCTCTCTAAGGCGCCCCTTAGGGTGGCCTTTTTTGTGTGGACTGCAGCTTGGAGTAAGATTCTGACTTTGGACAATTTACGAAAGAGAAGACATATCATTGTTAATCGGTGTTGTCTTTGCAAGTGTTTTGGGGAGTCCGTGGATCACCTTCTGTTGCATTGTCCTGTTGCTTATGAATGTTGGAGTCTTTTGCTTGGTTTGTTTGGCATCCATTGGGTCATGCCTCAGACTTCTCAAGGATTGCTAGATATCTGGAGGGGCCAATGGGTGGGGGCTCAGGCTAGAGACTTCTGGAGGGTGACCCCTCTTTACATTTGGTGGAGTCTTTGGAAAGAGCGGAACAGAAGATCTTTTGATGGGAAGGAGTCCTCTATTGGAGAGCTGAAATTTTCTATTATTTGTACCCTTTTTTATTGGGGTTGGGGGAGGGATTATTCTTCTTTAGAGGACATTGTGGACTTTTTGGGTTCTTTGAGTTCATAAAGTCTTTTTGTGTATATCTCAGGACGCGTTCCCCTTTTAAACGCTTTCTAATACATTTTACTCATCAAAAAAATATATATATTGTTCAAATGCATGATTATGTGTCTTGAAAGTTTATGTTTAACTAGAAAGATGATGGTTTAATGTTAGCTTCCTTGATGTAGAATTATCACTAGATTATTGTTGTTCTTGTCATTTTGAGAAGTATTACTAAATATTTGTTGTTCTTGCCATTTTAAGAATTATTACTAAATTGTTGTTCTTGACATTTAACATGCTAGAGATTAGCATAATGCTTGTGTGGTTGTGTAGCTAAGGTATTAGAGACCTTAAAGTGCTAGCATGAATTAATCTTTTAAGTTGAATTCTCAATGTTAGCATATTCAATTACATATCTTGCTTGATATCATGCCATATTAGCCTTGAGGACTTGGAACATGATATGCTTGAATCTTGCATCTTTTGTGTGCATGGAAGGTAAAACTTGTGAATTGACTATGTGGCTATGTTGTGAAATTGGTTGTTGATTTTAGGAAACACTAGGGACATTGTTACGTTGACATAGCTAGAGTTCAACTCTAGTGCGGGAGGTATGAGGTCTCCCCAATTATAGTAACCACTTGGGTAGTCCCTGCAAGTTAGTAGCCCAAAATAGCTACGTTGTCTTGGTTGTGATGTTCATAACCGGATGTTCGTGTCCAAGATATTCCTATTATGTGATTTCGTATTTCATTTCCAAGTTGACAATCTTATGTACTTGTGGCTTGTGGTTTTTGGTTTGGATGTTCCAACCTTGACAAATTTTGTATGATTTCGTATTTCATTTCCAAGTTTACACTTTGATGCAAATGTAGCTTGGAGTATTTGGTAATGGATGTTCCAATTTGGTTAAATGCATTCTATGATGTGGATTTAAATTATGATGCTCCAATGCTAGTTCTAAGATGATCCCTTAGTTTCACCCTTGAATTAGACGCATAGGAGGCATGTTCCACATATGTATAACATATGCTATTCTTGTGAGGCCAATGAAACCTTAGGTTATCCTCATAATGCACTTTCCTACGGAGTAATTTAATCACACCCGTTGATAAACATTTTTCAGGACAATGCATGCTTGGCATGGATGTAACTTTATCTAGCTTGGATGTATTTTTATTAGTTTCTATTTGCACTTATCCTTATGTATGGGATAGCTTTGAGTGTAATGTATCTCTTAAATGTGGATGTAATCTTCTTTTATGCAAATTGTATCTTGAAATTCATTTGATTAATGTAATGAGGCTAAGGGTGATTCAATTTCAATGTTTATTTTTGCTACTTCAATGTACCCATGTATGTATTTATCTCATTCCATGTTTCATTTCATTTGGGATTGAGCTTAGAGGCCTTAGGGATCAGTTTTGGGCAGGGGAAAACAATGTACAAAAAATTGAGTTTTCTTTTTTTGTAATTTTGGTCACAGTTACTATTCATCGATTTTTTTCCAACAACCGTACCGACCACTCCAGGACATCCAGAGGTCATTTAGGTGTATTTGAAAGCCGCATTTTCAATTTAGACCTTGGGAAACCTTTCTGGCAGCCTACTTTCAGTCCTTTGGCAGAATACGAAGTTACTGTTCATGCATTGGACAGTCATATCTCCCTCATTCCAGATCCAAATTAGGTCACTCTTGAGTCTAAGTTCAAGGATTTTGAATTAGTTTTTCAATGGTACCAATCCCATTTTCATATTCCATTCCTACTGAGAGATATACTCGTTTTAGTGGGGCAGTGTCGGAAAATCACTTGACCGGAAGGGGGTATTTTTGGGAAATCATGATTAAAGGCCTTAGAACCTCTTGGGATGTTATGAATTGATTATATTGGGTTGAGTACACTTCATTTGACTTGTTTTGAGTCTTATTTCTCCACCATTGGGTAAAATGACCATTTTACCCCTAGTTACATATTTTGTTTGTTTTGACCCTTTTACCCTTTTGACCTTAGCTTCCGCAGTCATCTTCTACTTGAGTCTCGTGACTTCTTAGAAGGTTACTTTGTTGTCTTAGAGGTAGTGTCTATCTCTAGAGACCTCCTTTCTTTTCTTGCTTCCACGTTTCGAACTCATAATCGATCAGTTTTTTGGTTACTCACTGATGCTCCCGATTATAGAAATTCGGGCCGTCACATTCCCAAACACCTCCTTGTTCTACCTTTTGATGTCTTCCTTCAAGCGCCTAAGTTTACCCGCAAAGGTGAAGCTCGAAGTGCCACTCGCCCCATACCCCGTCCACCAAGCCTGCACCTCTTCTTGAAGCCCTCCGCCCGAAGCCACATGTTCTCAAATCTAAATGGAGAGCTCCTCTTCCGCAACCCACCACAATCCAAAACCAAGGGAATATGGTCCGAGGTGGGTCTAGCCAAAGCAGCCTGAACCAAGTCCAAATATTTCTCCTTGCAGTCTCCGGATAAAAGGAACCTATCCAGACAAGACAAGGTAGTAGACTGTCTGCCACTAGACCAAGTGAAGGGCACTCCCTCCAATGGCAAATCAATCAACTAAAGGTGGTTAATGAAGCCTGAAAAGTGAAAACTGCTTCATGGCCGAAGTCCACCTGCCCAGGTAAACCTCTTCCGCTGGAAACGAAGAACATCAAACTCCTCACCCACACACCATCGAAGGGGGCATATCCTCCAAATAGAGCCAAGCTCCTCCCACAGTAAATGCCTCTCCCCATCCTCAACAGGACCATAAACACTGAAGAACACCCATTGGAAGCCATCCTCCTCCATAGCAAAACCACAAGAGACGGAAAATATCCCAATCCACACATACCTCTTGGATACCCAGCTCCTATCCGACATCACAAGATTACCTCCCGAAACACCTGAAGCATCCAACACCTCCCACTCAACAAATCTCCCACCCCAAAGGTTCCTAACGACCCTGTATGAAATAGAGGACAACTTCATCTCCTGCAAACACACCACTTGAGTGCCCACTTCTGCACCGCCAACTTCACCACCTTGAGCACCACACTTCCGCATCGCCCCACTCTATTTTCTATAATATAGTGATGTGTAATTTTCTTAGTTGAGAAAACTATTTTAAGTAGATACAACCAAACAAATTTTTGAGTTTTTGTTTTTGGAAAACTGTTTTGTAGTTTACCCAACCAAACGGAATTTCAGACTAAACAAACTGAAAACTAATTTTTTTTTTATTCTCTGAAAACTATTTTTGAAAACTAAAACTGAAAACTAATCCAAGCACGACTAAAGCCATCAAAGGTTGTTTGAAGTCTTGTAGAGGGAGTGTATATCAAGAAAAAGCAAGAGAGAGCTTTGAAGATTTCAGAGAACCTCAAACCAGGGCTTTAAGCTGTGTGATTTGGAATGAGTAGAGATCCTTATATAGAGCTTTAGGAGTTCAAATTCTACATTAATATGGTAAGAACAATACTTGCCTCCTCAGCGATGAGGACATTGAGGAGGGACCTCCTCCACATGGCGAAATTATAGAATGACATGTGTCCATTTTGAATTTTAAATATAAAATTGCGAATGTTAAGGTTCGTTTTAAAAAAATTCTTTACATAATAGAAAAATGAGCAATCAGCATATTAAATAAAAGAAAATATAGAATAAGACCAAAATCCATATGAACATCACTATGCATGGTCCCAATTACGTCCCACGTTGAATCGAACCAAATGTCTGTAAGCATTCTTTGAACCTTTTGTTTCTTGGGCCTCTAATGGACTATGTCACCCCTTTAAGGAGAAATACCTAGCTCCACTCATTAGCAAGAGCATCAAAGGAAACATTTTTCAGCGATTACTTCTCATATAAATTGAAAGAAATTTGATGGTTGAGCTTCACTTCTCTTTGTTTCTTTATTCTCCTCAATTGCATGAATTTGATTTTTACAGTCCTCTTTCTATTCTATTTACTCATTATTTGTCACCATTTAAAGTATTAAGCATCTGAGCACACAATAAAATAATATTAAGGCTCCATTTGTTTCAACGTAAAATATTTTCCTCAAAAAATATTTTCCTTTTTGAGGTAAAATATTCGGTGTTTGGCAAAGGTTTAGGTCGAGGTTGAGGTTGAATCTATCGGGCCGGGCATGTAAAATAACTTGCCTAACATTTATGGGTAAGTTATTTTTGTTAAATTTTAATATTTTTTCCTTCATAAATATTTTACAACAACCAAACACCAAAAAATTAAAATAATATTTCTAAAATATATTTTACATCGAAACAAACGGAGCTTAAATGAAATGTCATCTCAAGGTAAATAAAAATAAAAGTACTAACATGGTTAACACCAAATATGAAGAAAGGTGCGTTGTAGAGTTACTGCAACTTAAATCTTATTCTAGTATATAGTAACCAACTGCATGAAAAGAAGCTTCTCACCTTAAGAGTTGAAAGAAATTCCATACTATCATAACAACGAACATGCAAGAACCGTCTCATGCATGCTGCAAACAATTCCTTGTCATATCCAATACGTGGCTCCTTCAAATTATACTTAGAAACGTTAACATCATTTTGCTCGCAAGTTAAATTGATTCTTGATCCTATAAAAAAATTAAAATACCCTTACAATTTTATGCAATAAATGCTTGTGTTTGAACAAGAAAAAATAAGACATAGAGGCAAACAAAAGAAATCATGGTACGAAAATTGAAGAGAATACAAGCATTAGTTCATGACAGTTTCTAGGAAAATAACATAGTTTATGATCAAAAAAAAAAAAGGGTGCTAAATGAAACAATAAACTAAAGAGAAAAATCACCAAGAGTTGTAGCCCAATGGTACCTCATCCAATTCCCAAACGGGAACATTAAGGGTTATTGTTCCACGGGGGCAAAAGCACATGGGATTCATTTTCCATGGAAAAAAAATGAATAGACTTGAATGTGACATGACTGCATCAAAATAAAAATAGATAGACAAACTAATGCCAGAACAACTTAGGAACATCAAATCAATACTTCTAAATCGGAATAGAAAAATAAGATTCATTGGACCTACTCCAAGTAGTTAGAAAAAGGCTTAACCTTTAAAGGGAGATGTACACCTAATAAAGAGAGTCTGACATCACAACATAGGCTTCTTGTTTTAGATTTATGTATAAAAGAACAACCTAAAAGAAGAAAGAGAACCATAAACCAAGGACTAGGTGGTGGAATTTATTAGAGGGGACTCAGGGGAGAAAGTATAATTATTTAAAAATAGGATGTTCAGAGAAGCATCATGGAATATAGAAATGAAACGAACTTAATATAGAAGAAGATGACTACATATATTAAAAGAGTAGCAAAAGTCTTATAAGAATCAAAAGGACCGGGACCATTATTTAAAAAAACTTGGTGATGGAATGATCAAGTCCAAAAGGTAGTAAAACAAAAAGGAAATGCTATAAAGTTTGGCAAAAAACAAAAAATACTGAAACCTTTGACAAATATAAAAAGGTAAATAAAGATGTTAAGAAGTAGTGTGGCATAACATAGAGCATATGACGATTTATATTCTAAACTAGGCACAAAAGATATCTAAACTAGGCACAAAAGATGGGAGGAGAAGAATATATATACACTTGCTAAGCTAAGGGAGATGAAAACTATATGACGATTTATATGACGATTTATTAAATGTATTAAGAGTGAGATTAACGGAGTTTTAGTAAAAGGCGATGAAATTAAAGAAAGATGGAAAAGTTATTTTGAGAAATTGCTAAATGAAAACCATATAGGAGGTCTACACTTGGAAGAATATGTAGAGAACATATTTTTTTCTGTAGGGTCAAGAAGTGGGAGGTTAGGAATGCCTTAAATAAGACAAAATCGGGGAGGGCTTCAGGACCCGATGGCATTCCTATTGAGATGTGGGAAGTGTCTAGGAGATATTGGTTTGTCTTGGCTAACAAAATTGTTTAATAAGATAATAACAACTAAGAGGATGCCAGATGAGTGGCTCCAAAGTATTCTAGTACCTATATATAAAAGTAAAGGGGGTGTACAAAGTTGTAATAATTACTGTGGTATTAAATTGAGAGAATGATTGAACAAAGCCTAAGAAAAGAAACGGCGGGTCAAAGAATCAATTTGGATTCATGCCAGTTAGGTCAACAATGGAAGCTATTTACTTACTGAGGAGACTGATGGGAAGATATACAGAGAAGAAGAGAGATCTCTATTTGGTTTTTATTGATTTGGAGAAAGCCTATGATAAGGTACCTAGAGACCTAATATGGAGGGTTTTTGAAAAGAAGTCACAAAGGGATACATTGACACAATAAAGGACATGTATGATGGTTGCATGATTATACTTAGAACACCTGTACAGGAAACAAGTGAATTCCCGGGTTAGCATTATGCCCATACCTTTTTGCTTTGGTTACGAATGAGCTAAAACGACACATCCAAGATGAGATTCCATGGTGTACATTATTTACTGATGATATTGTTTTAGTTGATGAAACTAGAGGAGTTAATGCCAAATTGGAGTTTGGTAAGAAGCTTTAAAATAAAAGGGTTTAAGATAAGTCGAAAAAACCAAATAGATAGAATGTAATTTTAGTAAATCTAGGAAGACAAATGAGGATGTAATGACGATTGAGAATCAAGAGGTACAAAAAAGTGAACATTTTGGTTATTTAGGCTCAATTATTCATAATGAGGGGGAGGAGAAATTGGAGATGACATTAATGATAGAATGAAGGCAAGATGGGTTAAATGGAGGAGTGCATCTAGTATATAATTTGATAAAGATATCCCCATACGATTGAAAGGGGAGTTCTATAGAACAACTTATTAAACCAACCATACTTTATGGTACCAAATGTTGGGTAGTTAGGAAACAACATTTGAATAAAGTGGAGTGTGGCAGAAATGTGAATGTTGTGAAACAGAGCTCAATCACAGTGTTGCTTGCTAAGGTTGCTCTATATGACTTGAAGCTTGAGCAGCTTGATGTCAAGACTATGTTCATGCATGGTGACTTGGAAGAGCAGATTTATATACATTAGTCTGAGGGGTTTGAGATTCTGTAAAAGGAAAACCATACTTGCCTTTTGAAAAAATCCTTCTATGGGCTAAAGCAATCTCTTAGACAGTGGTACAAGCAATTCAATACCTTTATGGTTGGGATGGACTTCAACAATTGTGTGTATCACAGGAGGATCTCAGATGGTTCGTTTTTATACTTGTTACTCTATGTTAATGACATGTTGATTGCTTATAGGAACATGTCACAAATTAACATGTTGAAGGCTCAGCTTAGTAGTGAATTTGAGATGAAGGACCTTGGTGTCGCGTATAGGATTTTGGGAATGGAAATTCATAGTAATAGAGCCACGGGCGTATTGTATTTGTCATAGTGGAAATACATTCAGAAGGTGTTAAAACGCTTTCAGTATGCAAGCATAAAAACCTGTGAGTACTCCATTGGTAGCCCACTTTAGACTTTCAACATGATTGTCACCATAGACCGAGGAGGAAGTGGAGCACATGTCTCGTGTTCCTTATACTACTGCAGTTGGTAGCTTCATGTATGCTATGGTGTGCACTACGCCAAACATTTCACATGCAGTTAGCATAGTGAGCAGATACATGCATAGACCTAGGAAGGTCTATTGACAAGCAGTGAAGTGGATATTGCAGTACTTGCGAGGCACTACAGATGTTGGCTTAGTCTGTGGCACAGGAAGCAACACGTGTGGGAGTGTCGTTGGGTTTGTTGATTTGGATTATGCTGAAGATCTTGATATGAGGTCCTGGCAGGGTATGTATTCACTCTTTGTGGCAGTGTGATCAGTTGGAAGGCCACTTTGCAGTCTACAATTGCATTATCTCCAACTGAGGCGAAGTACATTGAAGCCACATATGCAGTGAAGGAAGGTATATGGTTGAAAGGCTTGGTTGGTGATTTGTTTTGACTGTGTTTAGAGACAGCCAGGGAGCCACCAAAAATCAGATGTTACATTGATGTCAAGTTACACTTCATTAGAGATGTGATGACTAAGGTCATTCCTTTTCTTTTTTTTTTTATAAGTAATCAAGAACATTTTCGTTAATAGAAAAAACGCTCAACAAAAAAAAGGGGAGTGAACCCTCAACAACAAGAAGAAAAGACACCATAGGCACCACTACAAATACAAGTTGTCCATAAACTCCATTAGAATATCCATAGATGAACAACTTCTCCCATTCATCCAAAAATAAAGAGTGTAAAATATTTGATTTAATCACCCAAATAGGAGACTCAACTCCTTCAAACGCTCTCATATTCCTCTCTTGCCATAGACCCCATCATAAACAAAGCGGAGTCACCCTCCACGCATCTCTAATTCGTCTAACCACTAGCCGCCCTCTCCAAATGTCTGATTTATATCCCCCTGATCCACCAGATCCTCCACCACAGGATTCGGCTCTTCCCTCCGATGATACGATTAATGAGAACATCCTTTCGTGGGATAAAATAGCCATCGAAAATGAGATGTTCATTGAGCCTTTTATAGTTGATGACCATGCGGGCTTTACCACGTTTGACTTCACTATGGTTTCTAACCATAAAAGCAGGGCTGCTGTGTGGACTGCGGGTGCGTTCAATGAGTTTTTTCTCAAGAAGGTCTTGCAGTTGGGAATCAAATTCATCAATGTCTCTTCTGAGATAGATCATAGGTTTAACACGAATGACGACATTGCGATTTTTGAGCTGCAGTCTACAGAAGCGAGGACTTCTTTTCCACAGGGTAAGTGGATTTTCCGAGAAGTTTTGTCTAAGTGACGCATATAGCCAATGGGTGTCATTTAGAACAAGTAAGTCTGAGTCTCTTTTGGGTGGAGAGAACTTTTCATTACAAACAGAGGCTAAATTTTCCTGAATAGGGATTTCAACGACTGTTTGATCCTTAAGAGTTAAAGAAATGGTTTTTTCGTTTAACTGTAAAGGAATTTAACTATAGATAAAGTTACATCCTAGAATGAAATCACCATGCATGTAGGGAAAACAAAGAATTTTTGGGATAATGAATTTTTTATCATTAAGCCAAATAGCAATGTCCTTTGCTTTAAACTGAATCACATTCAGGGGTGCTTCAGCATCAATGCCTTGAACGCCAATGGGGTGTTTCATTTGCTGCCATTTTTCGGATGGCAGAGCATTATATCGACAACAACTGGTAGTTGCACCTGTATCGATTAAAACACAAAGGCTATATGGTTTATATCCTTTGAAGTTGAGAATGCCGTTAACATATGTATACTTTCGCTTTTTGCCTTGCGAAGGAGCAATTAAAATTTCATCTTTTCCAGTGCGGAAATGGAAGAATTTTGCAGAATTCAGTTTATGAGTTGATCCAGGTAAAAAGGGAGCATCATGAGGATCGATAGGAGCTTTGCCTTTTTCTGTCCAAGTGAAACGACGTCGAGGAGGTACCTCTACGGACTTTCTTGGGGGAAGGATTCGTTCCCATCCAGGATTTCTCTCAGAGACAGCGCGTTGTAGCTGAGGCGGTTTTGCTTTATTGGTAACATAAAGATTAGAACCGGAAGCATGTATTGTAGCCACAGTG